TAATTTTCTGGGAGATGATTGAAAATTTTTATGATCATACAATATACATTATTTGAAAAAAGTGCCAATCTTTGTTTAGGAACATATATATAGCTTGTATTTATGTCTAGGTACTTCTAGTTTCTGTAAATCACAGTTGGGTATATGTCAACGAACATACACATTTCATATATAATAATAAAACGATAATTAAAAGTGGGAATTTGAATATTTTTTTCCACATATGAATGCTGGTGACCGCGGCTAGTCCACAGCTTCACCGAACGAAAAGGTGATAACATTATTCAAGGTTAGTATCTCGACTATGGCCGTTGTTAGTTCGGTAGCAATTACAATGAGACAGACAGACATACAAATATCGTACGTTGCTATTTCAGATGAAGAAACATCAATATGAACAAACCATCATGCTCACGAATACACAAATGTTAGTACCGTGCGAGGAATCGAACCCGAGACCATCGGACGTAAGGCCACAGCCGCTAATCCACCGAGGCCGTCTAAGTTTATACTATCTTTATTAGTCAGTCCGCAGTTGAGTGACCGCTTTAATTATACTCTTAAGACCACGTGGCCACCACAGCCAGTCTATACATACATACAAACAAAATTGTAGTGTCTGTTTGTTAATATTGAAGTAAACGTTTTTTACTGCATGCATATGAATATAAATACGGTACATAAACCAAAATAACATTTTTTACAATTTTTATTTGTCTGTCTGTCTGTTTGTTCCGGCTAATCTCTGAAATGGCTGGACCGATTTTGATGGAACTTTTATTGGCTTAGGTAGCTGATGTAATAAGGAGCTACTTTAGAAAAATAAAGTTAAATTCCACGCGGACGAAGTCGCGTGTACAAATGCGTTTGATATAAATACAAAAGAGTTTGTATGTGTCGTACAACAGGCGCCACCGCAAACCACCTTCTTCAAAGTCAAAGTCGGTCAGTTTATTTGTGTATTACTGTACATATTTTTATGATGTTGTGGCGCAATGGGTAATACCTCACCACTGTACAATTATATACATTTCTAAACTAAAATATATTTAATGTACATATGATATTGTAACGGTGCCCCCGCCTGCGCTGACGGTACACGCTGGCGGGGCACCAGTGGAGGATGGTAAGATGAGCACGAGGTCAGGTCAGTTAGCACATCCTGACAAATACACCAGGGATTTATCATGATGGTTTCCAGATGGAACCGCGTGGAGGTCAACCTGACATGGTCATCCGATAATTAATGAACCATTTATATGGTCTTGAAGATGAGCTGATAGGTACCTTAAACACATATTGTATTTCATTTTCATTTAAAAAGATCTTGTTGTAGTCTTGTTTTTGAAAAAGATTTAAGATTAGTTTTTCCATATTATAGCAGAAGTGTAAACGAAATATTGAGTGTAATTATAAAATTTTCAAAATAAGCTTTAATTAACATTAATTTTATTTCTTTTGGTTTGAAATTCTCTATAAAACACTGTGTGTGTGTGTGTCACGTGACATTTTCGATTAGTAGCGGAGAACTAATACTGAGACACGAGAATTTTATATATAACAATAACAATAATAATAATAATCTCAGGACAATACACACAGCGCCATCTAGACCCAAGTTAAGCTAGCTAAAGCCTGTGTTATGGGTACTAGACAACTGATACATATACATAAATAATTTTTTTTGTTCGTAATAACATACTTATACATAGAAAATATCCAGACCGATACAAACAATCATACTCATGAATACAAAAGTTTGCGCCGTGCGAGGAATCGAACCCGCGACCATCGGTCGTAAAGCGGGTGTGCTGGACCGCTAGACCACCGAGGTCGTCAATATATATATGTAGTTATATATGTATGTGTAGACTTAATATGATTTGGTTATATTATCATAGTGCGGGATGCGGATGGTCGTTATCATCGACCACTGACAGTAACAGCAGTCACTCGTCATTCAGGTCACGTGGCACTTTACTATGATTTCACCAGTGTCCGCTCGGACTGGGGAATGAATAATTAGCAACAGGTATTATTGTATTACATGTAACTAGCTGTGCCCGCGACGTCGTCCGCGTGTTATGGCGACCCTGACCAAAAAAGATAAATACTCAGTAATCTAACCTAAAATTGCAAAAAAAGTTTCATCATTCTTCTTGGTTAAACAATTAAAATTTTTCATACAAGCTTTCATCCCCTATCTTATTTAACAACGAACTTTGAAATCTCATATTTATTTATATTTAATCAACAGCTTAATAAATAAGTTTCAAGTTTCTAGCTTTAAAAATGTCGATTCTTCCATACAATCTTTCGTCTCTCCTTTCACTTACTGCCTTTTTTTCCTGTGTACCATTCGACCTCTACAATTATATTATATGTATAGCTGGCTATAGACTAGCTGGTACCATCTTAAATTTCTAAATCCCTTTTGGTTGTAGTTTTATTTTATTTGTGTATAAATGAAACGAAACAAACTACGTCTACGGCGAAAATGTATTAACAACAAGATCAAGTATCAAAACAAGAGTGTAATAACAAAAGAATTATAAATACAAATACAAATTTATAATACAAAATACATTTTTCACGACCTCGGTGGTCTAGCGGTCTGGCACACTGTTGCAACTTTTTATATTGCAACACTAAAATAACTGTGTAAAAAGCGGTGTGTGAGCTGCTGCTCACACACCGCTTTACGACCGATGGTCGCGGGTCGATTCCTCGCACGGCACAAACATTTGTATTCACGTGTATGATTGTTTGTATCGGTCTGAGTGTTTTCTATGTATAATATTTATGTATTTACAAAAAAATTATATCTGTGCACATGTATCAGTTGTCTAGTACCCATAACACAAGCTTTAGCTAGGTTAACTTGGGTCTAGATGGCGCTGTGTGAATTGTCCTGAGATTATTATTTTTGATTAGCCGATTACAATACTTTTAGTACGTACCATACATATACTCTCGTATACATTCAGCGAAAAGCTGTTAATTTGAAAGTACAGACAGACAATTCAATTTTATTGTATACATTTATCGAAATGTATATAAACCGTTCGCCCACGTCGCGACCTATCATAGGAAGCAGGCATTATTAATATGTGATTAGTCCTGTAATGTCTTATATATAAAATGCTCGTGTCACAATGTTAGTTACCATACTCCTCCCAAACGGCTTGACCGATTTTTATATGCATATTCAGTGGTGCTGAGAGTCGGCTACTATCTATTTTTCATACCCCTAAGTGATAAGGGTTGTCCACCCCTAACATTATTTTTTATTTTTGGGGCATATTTTTTTATTATGTGTCATTAAAAAATACATAAAACCCTAAATTTTCTACCACCAACCCCTATTTTTTATAGCGTTATTAATTTATATGGTAAAACAACGTTTGCCGGGACAGCTAGTAATATAAGATGGGCATCCAGCCGAATTAAAAAAAATATCTAGGTATAAAATATTTCTTTAAGTAATTTTTTGCTTTATTTAGTTAGTGTTAGTATTACTTAACGAATAAAATTAGTTTTAGTTTTAAATTTTTAATCACTCAATAGTAAATGACTGTTATAGAAAGAAAATTAATTTATTAGTTAGCTAAATCCCGCGCGGCCGGTTATCCGGCTATTCGGTCACATGGTTGGCCGAATATCCGGTACCCGGTATCCGGCCGCTATCCGTTTCATCTCTGCATGGTCTGCGTGTATACCACAGACTGGACTATTTCAGAGATATTCCAGACTGAGGTACACACGCGGGCCAGTTCGTATAAACTGTAAAAAAATATAGGTCACGAACAAAATTGTGAATTCAATAAAAAAATAAATCAAAGTGCCACCCGTCTCAAATATGATATGAACATATATATCTTTGTGTATTCAAATAATGATTTCTTAAATGTATACATACACCTACATATATACACTTCACAGGTTATATAATAGGCCAAGTGAGATCACTGCTTACGGATACTGGATTCCGTGAAGAAATAAATTAGAATAAAGAAAAAAAATTAAATTAAATTAATTGTTTAACCAGTTGGTTATATATTCAATATTTTTTCTATTTGAGTATATAATTGAATTAGTGCTAATTGGTGGTTTGTATTCACACACTTAAACTTAAAATGTAAAGTAATAATAGAATAGAAAGTCATTTATTCAAATAAACTTAATTTAAGCACTTTTGAATAGTCATTACATTTTTTTAATCTACCGCTCATTCGGAGCTGTCTCATCACAAGAAGAACGAGCGAGAAACTTGTGTGTTGCTCTTTTAAACAATCCTTGTAAGTTCACATTTTTAAGTTGAAATGCGTGAATTGTAATAACTAATCACTACATAGTATAAAACAAAGTCGCTGTCGCTGTCTGTCCCTATGTATGCTTAAATCTTTAAAACTACGCAACGGATTTTGAAGCGGTTTTTTTAATAGATAGAGTGATTCAAGAGGGTGGTTTATATGTATAATACATGTACACCCGGGCGAAGCCGGGGTTGGTAGCTAGTTAATATTATAAACGTTAGTTTGTGAGTATGGATGTATGTTTGTTACTATTTCACGCAAAAACTACTGAACGGATTTTGATGTAACTTTACAGTAATACAGCTCATACATCAGAATAACATATAGGCTATAAATTTCATACGGATCAAACCAGGCACAGCTATCTTTCATGTTTCTGATAACATTTTCATAAATGAACACTTGGTGGTACACTGGTATTTTAACAGCCCCTAAAACGTCCGCAAACATCATATCTATGCATTATATATTGATGGAAACAAAGGGGTAGAGACCACCCCTTTATAAATATTTTATCAGGCGTCGGTTGGGCGTGGTGCGGGGGCGTTTCAACCCCTAAACCCGCCCCTAATCTCGTCTCCTCCCCTAAATCTGATCAGTTTGATGTAATCCCTGGCAAGATATAGAGCTCCCAAGCATTGTAACTTGTTAGAATTCCCAGTGTAACAGTTAGAGTGAGTTCAGTGTGTATATAAGTGTGTTTTCTGGTTATTATTGGATACTTGTGATACCATTTAGGGTAATAAATTGGGTAAGTACTATTTAGAGATGGACCACTATCTGCTAGTGTTTTTTTAAGTGTATTGAAGTATTATTACATATAAATAAAATTGTAGTGTCTGTTTGTAATATTGCAATAACAGTTTTTACTACATGCATATGAATATAAATACGGTACATACACCAAAATAACATTTTTTACAATTTTTGTCTGTCTGTCGGATTGTCCGGCTAATCTCTGAAATGGCTGGATCGATTTTGATGGGACTTTTATTAGCAGGTAGCTGATATAATAAGGAGTAACTTAGGCTACTTTTATTTTAGAAAAAATCTCTAAATCTTTTTTGTTAAATTCCACGCGGACGAAGTCGCGAGTACAGCTAGTTTTATATATATACATATTGTGTGTTTTAAAATTGTATACGGATTTTTTTAACCTTTTTAAGTGTCTTAAATTACATATATATATCTTGTATGTTTTAGACTATACATATGTAAATAGGTAAGAAAAAGAAAGAAAATGTTTCTGGACAATATTCACAAATGTTTTCTTGCTCAGACATTCCTATGTACATAAGTTCATAAAAACATGAGGAAAGAATATTCTACAAGAATAAAAGCTTACATTAAAATATATACATATAATAAATCTGTAGGGAGGTCAATTCTGTACATGAAATATATTTCAAAAATAGCTATCAGAGGGTGATCAGTGATCTCTACTGATGACAAAAATGCAATCAGTAAAATGTTTGTCTGTCTGTCTGTATGTTCGTTATAGAAACAAAAACTACTCGACGGATTTTAACAAAACTTGGTACAATTATTCTCCATACTCCCGGGCAGGTTATGGTATACTTTTCATCACGCTACCATCAATAGGAGCAGAGCAGTGAAGGGAAATGTTAGGAAAACACATCACAACCACTGAACCGGAGGAACGACATAGGCTACTTATCTTACGAAAATCAACGGAAACGCAGACGAAGTCGCTGTCACCAGCTAGTCATATATATAAAAATAAAATTGGTCCCATCTGGAAACCATCGTGACAAATTTCTGGTAAATTTGTCACGATGTGCTAACTGACCTGACCTCATGTTCTTATCATCCTCCACACGGGCGCCCATTAGATATGTGATAAGATGAGATATTAATAAATGCATTACCAACGACGGTAATCACAGTTTAATAAAAACAATCTGTATAAACATACATATTTGTTTAGAGATTTTTTTTATACTACTATGGTGGCAATCAAGCATACGGCCCATCTGATGGTAAATGGTTACCGTAGCCTATGGACACCTGAAACATCAGGGGTGTCACGTGCGCGTTGCCGACACTTAGAAACCTTAATATACCCTTCCCGAAAAACCCCATGCTGTAGTCTCGGGGGAAAACCTCGGCAGGAAGTTCATTCGAGGAAGCTCCTCTGAAGCCGCACTGTCCGAGACCACTTAGTTTTTTTTATATGATAATGAAATGGTGCACCCGCCTGCGCTAACGGTTTACGCTAGCGGGGCACCAGTGCAGGATGATAAGATGAGCACGAGGTCAAATCAGTTAGCACAGTTAGGTTTCCAGGGGGAACCGCGTAGAGGTCAACCTGACATGGTACATTGCTAGTGATGGTGTTATCAGTCCACATTACTAACAATACCCTTCCCCCGATTGTGGATGGTTATAAGGGCAGAGGAAGGCCAAAAAAGAGATGGATGGACTGTGTGAAAGATGATATGGTAAGAAAGGAAGTAAATAACGAGATGACTGCGAACAGGGATGAATGGAAGAGAAAAACATATTACGCCGATCCCAAATAAATGGGATAAGGAAGAAGCAGATGATGATATACATAATATATATATAGAAAACACCCAGACCGATAAACATACTCATGAATAAAAGTGTAAACACCATGCCAGGAAACGAACCAGCTACCATCTGAAGTAAAGCGGTGTACTAAACCGTTACACCACTGAGGTAATCAGATATCATCTTATCTATAATATTAGTAAAAAATTGAACTGCAATTCCTTGTTGAGACTTCTAACCACTGCACCAGCAGCCCCTAGCTGCGACAGACGTCACCTCAACAATCCATTCTATAATCACTTTAAACGATTCAAAAACCTTATGACATCCTTACCTCAATGCACGCGCAATTTTACACCTGTTATACTAAATATTGACCTTTATTGTAAGGGCATATGGTGTAGATTAGCACGACGAGGTCATTAGTTGAAAATTGTGGTTTGATAAGATGTAATATTACTTTTGATTCGAGCACGGCGGGCGGCCGCGCTCGCTCCTCACCAGCATCAGTAGGGAGCCCACCTGACGACGCCCTGCCTAGGACAGTTCTTTATTCAGAGACTCAGAAATTAAAAAAATGAAACTCTTTACTCAAACAAAATCAATATTTATTGCGTAGCCACTGTTTTGGCTTTCTTTATATCAATATAACAGTTCCGGCACGCCTTCAAGATTAATAAACACAAAAACTATTAGCTGCAAAAAGTTGCTATTTAATTTTTTAAGGCGCTTTAGATTTATTTTCAATGAACCTACTTCATTTTGTATTAATTAACTCATTTTTTCTTCTTCAAAAAAATTCTATAGATCTCTTCAGAATTATAAAAAATATATTATTAATAGTCAATATTTAATGTAAATTTGGGTTTCATTTGAAACTCCGAGGTGTTAGCGAATACAATATCATATTGCATTGCATATTGTAACTTTCCCACGAAAATCCCGTGCATAAACAACTATTGCCATGCACGCTCGACATTCAAGTAATCGTTTCGTGTGTAATAGGCTTTACTCAGCAAATATGATTTAACAGATGTTTTGAATTTATTTAAGGGTACTTCCAGTATATCCCTTGGTCTCTTATTGTAATGTATTCTTGGTATGTACCACGGAAAATATATATCCGATCTTGTATCAACGCCCGAAAACATTTGTTTTCATTGTATGGTAGAAATCTTATCTTCTTACAGGACTCGCATTGTCATATTATGATAAAAGTCACTAAATAAATATAAGAATAAAAAAAAGTCCTCCATTTTCTCCATCACGGCGCGTCACCGTAACCTTGTTGCATGCCAGTGACAACTTGTCTTCTTTGATCAACCCCTCACCCCCTCACCGCCGCCCCCCGGCGACCCCACGGTCCCCCGCTGACAGTGATTACATCAACAATATATTTTATTAATATAGAGATTTTAAGATGACAAACAAACTGACGGTGACTTTGGAGTACCGTAGTAGGAGAATGCAATTGACATGAGACATATAATAGTAATAAATAACCCTGGACAATTAACACAGCGCCATCTAGTCCCACGGTAAGCAGAGCTTGTGTTATGGGTACTAGACAACTGATATAAATAAATAAATAACCCTGGACAATTAACACAGCGCCATCTAGTCCCACGGTAAGCAGAGCTTGTGTTATGGGTACTAGACAACTGATATAAATAAATAAATAACCCTGGACAATTAACACAGCGCCATCTAGTCCCACGGTAAGCAGAGCTTGTGTTATGGGTACTAGACAACTGATATAAATAAATAAATAACCCTGGACAATTAACACAGCGCCATCTAGTCCCACAGTAAGCAGAGCTTGTGTTATGGGTACTAGACAACTGATATAAATAAATAAATATATTCCTTTTTTTGAATACATATATCACTACATATAGTATAAAACAAAGTCGCTGTCGCTGTCTGTCCGTCCCGTAGAAATGATTCATATTATTATTTATATTCATCAGAAAGCTGCACTATGAGAAAGTTGACTCACTCGCATTCCACGCGAGCAGCACCGTGGTATATATATAGCTAGTCAGCCAAGAGTCAGCAACCTTTTTAATCAACGGACTGATGCTTTACTTTCAATAGTCGCGGGTTCAATTCCTCGCATGACACATTCATTTGTATGACACAAACAATCACACTCATGAGTGTTTTATTGTTTGTATCGGTCTGGGTGTTTTCTATTTATATTATACCAGCTACACGCCCCGGTTTCGCACGGGTGTACATGTATTATATATATAACATATAATATAAACCTTCTTGAATCACTCTATCTATTAAAAAAAGCCCCTTCAAAATTCGTTGCGTAGTTCTATAGATTTAATCACACATAGGGACAGACAGCGACAGCGACTCTATTTTATACTATGTAATAAAGATTATAATAAGAAAGTAGAAAAAATAAATTCAATTATAGAAATACATGATGGGCCGCATAAACATTTCTACCGGGCCGCAAGCGTCCGCGGGCCGCATGTTATTCAACTCTGCTGTAGACAATACACGGCTCAGTTCCCTGACACCAATCAAGCTAATTGAGTGTACACTATAAGTGTCCCGGTCCCCTGTCAGTGTCGCCGTCGCAGTGTCGACACCGCGGGAGTGTCGAGTGTCCCTCACACGGGGGACCGCCTGCAGCGTCGTGGCGGACAGTGGCACTATTACATCTAATATTGTCAAGTTTTGTTAAGACATGGGCTTTTCCGGACTACTCTAATACTGTTGGCCGCAGCTGGCCTTTACAGCTTCACCGGACGATACGAGGCGAGTGCAGATGGCACTCCAACCCAATGGAAGGACTTATGGAGCGGCTGAGGGACAACCCCCGCCTGACGGATACGACGACAGTCTGAGTACACTGCTAGGCACTTGGGGTTCGAAACTCGGCTCAGACCGTCATGTAATAATATCGATCCCCGTTTGAATTGGACGAGGATCGATCGGAGGTGGTAGTGAAAATGACATGTGTTGAGATATGTTTATTAGAGAATCTTCTATACTAACAGTGTTATAATGTATTTAAGTAATAAATATGACAATATATATATATATATATATATATATTCTCTACAGTTCCCTTCTGATCTCTATAATATTGTTTTTTTTTTATGTCAATATTTTGGCGCCAAAGTAATTTCACCTTTTTAAAATGGACTACAGGCAACGGAACAAACCCAAACAGTTATAATATTGAGACAATAA